ACCGATTGTTATCAGAAGGGAAGTGGTTGGGGGAATGGGTTACATATGGGATGAGGAGTAAGGAGCACACTTGTGATGCACACTGGGTATTGTGTAAAAGTTTTTAATCACTATATTGTACACCTGAAAATAATATTACACACTATGGTAGCTAGCTGGAAATTTTAAAACTTTTAAAAATGTTTATTTAAGTCCAGAAATGTAGATGTTCTCAGTACCCCATCCATAGTCTCTAGGTATTCAAGGTACCATTGCACAACAGCAAATCTTGCAAACACTCTGCCACTCTGCCTGTGTCTTCTCTGGATGGGGTGTGGGGTTAGCCACCTGCAGGGGAGACCAGTGGTGCTGAGGAATTCATACCCCTGAGAACAGCCTACAGCCCATTCATAGCACGGTGGAAAAATGACCTAGCTTCCTTGCCCTTTGAGTTGGGTTCTGTGAACAACTTGCAAGAATGTATTGCACACTCCCTGAAGTCATGACAGGACTTAACCCCACTCATCCATATTTGTGGCCCTGTGTTGGCCCTTTCCATTTCACTTTTCTCTACTTTCTGTGGTCACCTTCCAAATACAATACTTGCCTAGATTCCTAGTCCCAGGTATGCCAACATAAGACAAATGGTTATGGTTAACATGTGAAGGACTATTTTCTCTTCTACTGATCTTAATAACCTAGTAGATATTAAAAGATTGGGGCAGAAAAGTAGAAAGATGAGAAAAACTAAAAATGAAGAAAAAAATAATTTTGAAAAGATGGAGGCCTTTTTCACAGCCAAAGGAGAGAAAAACACAGAGAGATGCATTATATTACATGAATCTGAACACTTTCTTGGGATATACAAGTGATAACAAGGTTGAGAAGGAAAGAGAAAATTGGTGAATGCTGCAAAACTCATCCTTAATAGAATGTTCACAATTTCCCCAAAGTACATTGAAAGGACACAGATGTCTAGTCCTACTGCAGGTGAGCCTGGAATTCCTCCCCATCTTCTTTGTTTTAGATTTCACCTATGAGTCGATCCATCAGACGAACTTGATGTTAAACGAGGCAACCTCTTCTGAGCTGGAGCATCATCCACTGGAAGTAGGAATGAACATCAAATAAGCAACACAACCCTATCCTAATGTGAGACCTCAGAGCAGAGCAAGGTAGTTGAGAAGCCATTATAGCACATCAGGGAGATCCATCTTAAGCATGAGTTCTGAGCTCTTTCCTTTGATTCCTCTCTCAGCTGACATAGATGAGAATTGTGAGATAGCCATGGGAACCCCTCTAACATAGCCTTAATTGAGATAATAGGCAGTGTCATCCCATCGTCTTCTCAATGCTTCTCAAGCTTTTTCAGGGAGAAATAACCACCTGGTAGATATTCCTCAATAATGCAGATTCCAGGTTCCTACTTCCAGGGATAAGTCATCACATTGCTGTGATACAACATACAAACCAACAATGGCTGGATCATGGCACAAAAATAGAACTCTGACCCACAAACTATAGCAATTTGTCCAGGAATCAACCCCCTTATCTATAATAAACAGCCTAGGAAGTCAGCCTGCCATAAGTCCAACTTGGAAGAACTAGGACTTCTAACTTTAGTAAAATCTAGGAAGATAAACGGTAATTTCTGTAACAATAGTACTCAAATTAATATTTTTGGTTAATAACTTCCAGCTTCCCTAATTCTCCACTTCCAACTTAAGACAAACCAGAGAAATCCCAACATGTCCCTAACTACCCTGCTTTTATTTAACCTATCTCCTTCTTTCCTATGCCAACAATTCCCAGTTGGAGCAAACCTGAAGCTTCTCTTTTTTCCACTCTAAAGTTTAACCACTCTACCTTTGAGTCTCTGCCAAAATACAAGTGGAAGTGGCTGACTGCCTTGATATGAAAGCTCTGAATAAATAGCCTTTTCTTTTCTCATTTGGCTTGTCTTCATTTATGTCCACAGTGCTCAGTAAGTATTTGTTGAATGACCAATCAAATAAAATAGAACATCAACTGAGTACAAGTTTTGCAGAATAACTGACCAGGCTCCTGTCATGCATGACAAAACTCCCAGATTGTAGGTTTAGGTATTCACTCTGACCCTCAGTGATGATCATGTTCTCTTCCAGCACCCATGGGTGAGGTAAGGGTGAAGACCTCTGAGAGAAGTGTGAGTGAATATGTCAGGGGATGTCCCGCAGGTGCCCTCTTCCTTTGTTTAGATGCAATCTGGGGTGTTTTTCAGAGTTATGGCTATGGGTAATGAACTTTTTTCTGAAGTCAATTCATTAATTTTGGCTTCTTCCTTAGTGTGGAGATTCTGTCTATTCCCTGAGCTCATTATGAGCTGGATTAGGTGTCCTGAAACATCTGATATGCAACTAGAGATATAAACCTGGGACATGAGCTCATTGTCAGTTTTATGAGAAACAGAAGAGCATCTTGGATGTTTAGTTCCATAAGTTTTTATTTTGGGGCCTTAGAGTTTGGAGGAAAGTGTGTGTAAAGCCTTTCCCAAGCCACCATTTGGTCACACATTGCCCTAAGGATTAGACATTTGCATGGTTCTTGGGTCTAGCACATCTCAGCTGAGATTCACAAGGTGGAGCAGAAGGTGAACTGTGGTGAACTGAATGGGGTTGGGAGGTGCTGAAGGGTGTGAGGGAAGACCTGACAGATGAGATACTAAAAGTGACCAAGAAGTGGGAGAAGTTCTTCTGACTTCAGTCTTCAGCCTAGAGACTTACACTGGACACAGATACCTCCTTGATGTCAGGTGACAAAAGTTGTTGGCATCAGAGACCAGATAGATGGTAATCTAGTTTAACTGGGCAAAATTGTGTCCTTGTTTATCCATTCTCTAGTCTCTGGACTGAGCTCCACAGTCAGCAGGCAGACCTGTTGACCCTTCCCACACATGTTTCCATGCCACTCTGGTGACTGTGGCTGTGTTCCATTCCTGCCTGTGCTGATCTTGGAATCTACATCCCTGAGCTGTGTTCTGGCTCCGTTTACTGGAATGTCTCTGTAACTTGCTATGTCTTATGACTTTCCTATCTACTGCCATGATCTGACTCTAGACAGCTTTCTCACCACTTCCAAAATAAAGCCAGAGTTATGCACACAGATGGCCCTATTCCAGTGCATGTAAACCTATTTCCCCATCATAATCACCTGGAGGGCTTTTAAAAATCCACATATAAGGGACCTTTTTCATACTCAGTGACCCAGAGACCCAAGGGTGGTATCAAGGCATCTTTACTTAATAAATAAATTTTAAAAAAGGATATCCCCTGGAGTTCCACCACTTCTGGAGTGAGCACTGGCTGTTCCTTCCTTAGTAAATTCAGTGAGAGTGTCTTAGAATATTCAGTGGTTCTAATTAGGTTAGTACCTAACCTAGGTTTGGCACTATGTGAAGTGACTGGTGTACAACCGGGAGATAGGCATATTCCAGTCTCTTCTCTCCTTTCCAAGGAAGAGAGTGGTGGATATGTCCAGAGGCATCATGAGATTCTCATGATACATTTGACATCAATATTTAGCTCTGTTTCAGTACCTGTATTGGATAAACACAATAAGTAAATCACATAAATAAATAAGGAAACAAACAAATAAAATGAAAATCTTCATCCAACATAGAAAACATTTTTATTTTTGAACAAGCATTAAACCAGAATGTGATGCCCATTACTGAGGTAATCTGCTGAGAGAATGCAAAACAGAAGAAATATCACCCTTTTATAGACAGGCAGTAACACCCCATTACAAATATGCTTTTGAGATAAACAAGAACTGGTCTTCAAGTAAGAGGATTTGACAGTACCATTTGTGACAAGTAGCTCATCTTAGATTCACCTGGTAAAGGGGGTTGCAATCTGTGTTAGTTAATTGGCTTTATCCAAAGGAAAAATAAACTTCTCACACTTTATGACAAGAGGTGGTTTTGCCACTTAGAGCATGGTGCCTGCTGAATTAGGGTCCTACTCTCCCACAGAGCCTGGGAGATAGGGGCACTACCTTCCTTGATGATTACATTTCAAAGAGATGGATCCTAGGTTCTTGAGAAAGACATTCCTGGATCAGAAAGCTGGCAATAAGCTTACTTAGTTTTTAAAAGTTTTAAATAAAAGGCAGAAACAAGGAGGTTACAATGAGAAGTTTTCTAAAGTAAATGCTCTAAGAGGGGGTAATCACTTCTTTTATTTTTTTTTTTTATAAATGTTTATTTACTTGTTTCTTTTAATGGGGAGATGGGGCATAATAAGAATCCTAAGCAGGCTCTTCAGTGTCAGCGCAGAGCCCCCAACGCGAGGCTCCATCCCACAAACAGTAGATCATGACTTGAGCCAAAATCAAGAGTTGGGAGCATAACTGACTGAGCCACCCAGGTGCTCCTAATTTTTAGTTTGCATTTATCCTTACACCTGTCATCCCTTTTCTCTCCTCGTTTCTCTTTCTTGTCTCCCAATACCTCACTTCCCCTCTTAAACCTATGTCTTAAGTCTACAGCTATTCACCTGTCATTTAAGCCCCTTATCTCTATCCCTTGCATTCACTGGCTCCCTTCCTCTGGGGTTCTGCACCTTGTGTTTTGAGAGAAGTAAGGATCACATCTTGGTAGATAAGTATCTGAGGGAAGCTGAAGAAAAAATGGATTTTCACTGCAGGAGGAAAGGGTAGGGCCATGTCAGAGGGTCAGGCTCTGTCTTTTAGAAGAAACAGGAGAGATATGGTTATTTGGAGATGCCAGATTAGTAGTTTCATTTGTTTGCTCCTTTGTTTGTTCTCAGGATCTCAGCCATAGAGCTCTGGAGCTGCACCTCCCTACCAGACTTCATCGTTTTGGGACTGTCCAGTTACTCAACATATGATTTCCTCTTTTTTTTCCCCTTATCCTTCTGGCCTTTGTTGTTTCCCTGGTTGGCAACATCTTTCTCCTGCTCATCCAGGCTAATAGGCACCTGCACACTCCAATGTACTTTTTCCTCACCCAACTCTCCATAATGGATCTGATCATGATGAACACAGTGGTGCCCAAGATGGCAGCTAATCTCTTGGGCCATAAGTTCATCTGTTGGGGTGGCTGTTCTACTCAGGTCTTCCTAGTGGTCAGGGTAGGAGGAGCAGAGTGCTTCCTCTTGGCAATCATGGCCTATGACCAGTATGTGGCAGTCTGCCACCCCCTGCAGTATCCTGTGCTTATGAACTGGCAGGTTTGCTCCCTCCTGGCCCTGGCATCCTGGATGGGTGGGGTGGCTGACAGTGTTATGGATGTGGGCATGGTTTTACGTTTCCCCTGCTGTCACTCTCTGGAGGTGGATCACTTCTTCTGTGAGGTCCCTGCCTTGCTGCATCTCTCATGTGCTGACACCTCACTCTTTGAGGATCTCATCTATGCTTGCTGTGTGGTCATGCTGCTGCCGCCGCCCCTTGGTGTCATTGTGGTTTCCTATGCCCAGGTCCTTGAAGCTGTCATTAGGATTCCCTCCACTGAGGGTAAACAGAAGGCTCTGACCATTTGTTCCTCCCACCTGGCTGTGGTGGGTCTGTACTATGGAGGAGCCATGTTCAGCTACATGCAGTGGGCCTCCACTAAAACACCAGTGAGAGACCAAGCCACCTCCATCTTCTACACCATCCTCACTCCAATGCTCAACACACTCATTTACAGTCTGAGGAACAGGGACTGTTTTAAACAGGGACTGTTTTACTTTTAAAAATAAAAACTCTGATTTGAATTTTGGCATGACGAATCACCCATGGTCTCTTGCCCTTTAAGGAATACCTGGCTCCCTTTTTGTGGTTCGCAGGGCCTCCCAGTCTGGCCTCCAAGCCACCTCCAGTCACATATTGTACCCCAGCCCTGCTGCAGTTTTCAGGTTTTCAAAGGATTTCTTGCTTTTGTTGCATGAACTGTGCCTTTTCCCACTCTGTGGTGCTTTCTTCTGGGGATCGAGCTAACTCCTCATCTTTCAGGCCTCTTTCCTCCCAGAGACCTTCCTTGTCCTCACCTTATCCCCTGCTCAGGCAGGGAGCCCATCATAAACCCACTTCACTCCACAGTTTCTCAGTTCCCAGCCCTTATGCTCCTGCTACATGTAAGTGGTCGATGCCTTTACTCCCTGATAGGCCATAAAATACAGCCCCTGGTGCAAGGCATGACACCTTCTAGGCTTTAAGCACATTGGCCATATCCACAATGGATGACTTTACCAAGCACCTGATGCCAGGTGAAGCTTCTTGTTCTCTGAAAAAGGGACCACAATGGTCCCAGTCACAGTCCACCTGAGCTTCTGCTCTGTCTGAGGTCTATGCAGTTCAGCACCACTCCATGTCTGCCCTGCCTGACTTTTACAGAGGTCTTTCGCTACCACGTGGGTCTCTACTGTTTCTTTCTTTCTTTTTTTTTAAATTTATATCCAAGTTAGTTAGCATATAGTGAAACAATGACTTCAGGGGCAGATTCCTTAATGCCCCTTACCAATTTAGCCCATCCCCCCCACAACTCCTCCAGTAACCCTCTGTTTGTTCTCCATATTTAAGAGCCTCTTATGTTTTGTCCCCCTCCCTGTTTTTTCTATTATTTTTGCTTCCCTTCCCTTGTGTTCATCTGTTTTGTCTCTCAAAGTCTTCATATGAGTGAAATCATATGATATTTGTCTTTCTCTTACTGACTAATTTCGCTTAGCATAATACCCTCTAGTTCCATCCACGTAGTTGCAAATGGCAAGATTTCATTCTTTTTGATTGCCGAGTAATACTCCATTGTATATGTATATACAATATGTATATGTGATATATATATGTCACATCTTATTTATCCATTCATCCATTGATGGACATTTGGGATCTTTCCATACTTTGGCTATTGTTGATAAACATTGGGGTGCATGTGCTCTTTTGAAACAGCACACCTATATCCCTTGGATAAATACCTGTTAGTGCAACTTTTGGGTCATAGGGTAGTGCTATTTTTAATTTTTTGAGAAACCTCCACACTGCTTTCCAGAGTGGTGGCACCAGGTTGCATTCCCACCAGCAGTGCAAAAAAGATCCTCTTTCTCTGCATCCTTGCCAACATCTGTTGTTGCCTGAGTTGTTAATTTTAGCCATTCTGACAGATGTGAGGTGATATCTCATTGAGCTTTTAATTTGTCTTTCCATGATGATGAGTGATATTGAGCATTTTTTCATGTGTCTATTAGCCATCTGGATGTCTTCTTTGGAGAAGTGTGTATTCATGTCTTTTGCCCATTTCTTCACTGGATTATTGGTTTTTTTGGGCGTTGAGTTTGATAAGTTCTTTATAGATTTTGGATACTAACCCTTTATCTGATATGTCCTTTGCAGATATCTTCTCCCATTCTGTCGGTTGCCTTTTAGTTTTGCTAATTATTTCCTTTGCTGTGCAGAAGCTTTTCATTTTGAATAGGTCCCAATAGTTCATTTTTGCTTTTCTTGCCCTTGCCTTTGGAGCCATGTTGAGTAAGAAATTTCTGTGGCTGAGGTCAAAGGGAGTTTTGCCTGCTTTCCTGTCTAGGATTTTGATGGCTTTCTGTCTTATGTTTGGGTCTGCCATCCATTTTGAGTTTATTTTTGTGTATGGTGTAAGAAAGTGGCCCAGGTTCATTCTTCTGCATGTCGCTGTCCAGTTTTCCCAGCGCCAGTTGCTGAAGAGACTGTCTTTATTTCGCTGGCTATTCTTTCCTGCTTTGTCAAATATTAGTTGGCCATACGTTTGTGGGTCCATTTCTCGGTTCTCTGTTCTGTTCCCTTGATCTGAGTGTCTGTTTTTGTACCAGTACCATACTGTCTCAATGATTACAGCTTTGTAATACATCTTGAAGTTCAGGATTGTGATGCCTCCAGCTTTGGTTTTCTATTTCAGGATTTCTTTGGGTATTTGGGGTCTTTTGTGGTTCCATACAAATTGTAGGATTGTTTGTTATAGCTCTGTGAAGAATGCTGGTGTTATCTTGATAGGGATTACATTGAATATGTAAATTGCTATGGGTAGTATTGACATTTTAACAATATTCTTCCAATCCAGGAGCATGGAATATTTTCCCTTTTTTGTGTGTCTTCAATTTCTTTCAGAAGTTTAATATAGTTTTCAGTGTATTGATTTTTCACCTCTTTGGTTGGGTTTATACCTAGGTATTTTATGGTTTATGGTGCAATTGTAAATAGGATCAATTCCCTGGTTTCTCTTTCTGTTGCTTCATTATTGGTGTATAGGATTCACCCCATTTCTGTGAACTGATTTTATATTGTTATTTTGCTGAATTCATGGATCAGTTCCAGAAGGTTTTTGGTGGAATTTTTGGGTTTCCCATATAGAGTATCATGTCGCCTGCAAAGAGTATCTTACTGATTGTCTGACTGCTAAGGCTAAGACTTCCAATACTATGTTGAATAACAGTGGTGAGAGTGGACATTCCTGTCTTGTTCCTGACCCTAGGGGGAAAGCTCTCGGTTTTTTCCCCATTGAGGATATTAGTGGCGGTTCTTTCACTTATGGCTTTTATGATCTCGAGGTATGATCCTTGTATCCCTACTTTCTTGAGGGTTTTTATCAAGAAAGGATGCGTATTTTGTCAAATGCTTTCTCTGCAGCTATTGAGAAGATCATGTCGTTCTTGTCCTTCTTTTATTGATATGATGTATCACATTGCTTGTTTTGCAGATATTGAACTGGCCCTGCAACCCAGATATAAATCCCCCTTGGTGGTGGTGAATACTTCTTTTAATGTACTGTTGGATCCGGTTGGCAAGTGTCTTGAGTATTTTTGCATCCATGTCCATTAGGGAATTTGGTCTGTAGTTCTCCTTTTTAGTGGGGTCTTTGGTTTTGCAATCAAGTTAATGCTGGCTTCATACAATGAGTTTGCAACTTTTCTTCCATTTCTATTTTTTTGGAACAACTTCAAAAGAATAGGCGCTAACTCTTCCTTAGACGTTTGGTAGAATGTCTCTGGAAAGCCATATGACCCTGTACTCTGGTTTTTTGGGAGATTATTGTTTACTACTTGATTTCTTTTTTTTTAAATATGAAATTTATTGTCAAATTGGTTTCCATACAACACCCAGTGCTCATCCCAACAGGTGCCTCCTCAATACCCATCACCCACCCAACAATTTGTTCTCAGTTTTTAAGAGTCTCTTATGTTTTGGCTCCCGCCCTCTCTAACCTTTTTTTTTCTTCCTCTCCCCATGGCCTTCTGTTAAGTTTCTCAGGATCCACATAAGAGTGTAAACAGATCCACATAAGAGTGAAAAGTCTGTATGACTTTTTTCAATTAGCATAACAGTCTCCAGTTCCATCCACGTTGCTACAAAAGGCCATATTTCATTCTTTCTCATTGCCAAGTCATATTCCATTGTGTATATAAACCACAATTTCTTTTTTTTTTTTAATTTTTTTTCAACGTTTATTTATTTTTGGGACAGAGAGAGACAGAGCATGAACGGGGGAGGGGCAGAGAGAGACGGAGACAGAATCGGAAACAGGCTCCAGGCTCTGAGCCATCAGCCCAGAGCCCGACGCGGGGCTCGAACTCACGGACCGCGAGATCGTGACCTGGCTGAAGTCGGACGCTTAACCGACTGCGCCACCCAGGCGCCCCTAAACCACAATTTCTTTATCCATTCATCACTTGATGGACATTTAGGCTCTTTCCATAATTTGGCTATTGTTGGAAGTGCTGTTATAAACATTGGGGTACAAGTGCCCCTGTGCCTCAGCACTCCTGTATCCTGTGGGTAAATTCCTAGCAGTGCTACTGCTGGGTCATACAGTAGGTCTATTTTTAATTTTTGAGGAACCTCCACACTGTTTTCCAGAGTGGCTGCACCAGTTTGCATTCCCACCAACAGTGCAACAGGGTTCCTGTTTCTCCACATCCTCTCCAGCATCTATAGTCTCCTGATTTGTTCATTTTAGCCACCCTGACTGACGAGAGGTGGTATCTGAGTGTGGTTTTGATTTGTATTTCCCTGATGAGGAGCGACGTTGAGCATCTTTTCATGTGCCTGTTGTTGGCCAGCTGGATGTCTTCTTTGGAAAAGTGTCTATTGATGTTAACTTCCCATTTCTTCACTGGATTATTTGTTTTTCCTGTGTGGAGTTTCATGAGTTCTTTATAGATTTTGGATACTAGCCCTTTGTCCGATATGTCATTTGCAAATATCTTTTCCCATTCCGTTGGTTGCCTTTTAGTTTTGTTGATTGTTTCCTTTGCTGTGCAGAAGCTTTTTATCTTCATGAGGTCCCAATAGTTCATTTTTGCTTTTAATTCCTTTGCCTTTTGGGATGTGTCAAGTAAGAAATTGCTGCGGTGAGGTCAGAGAGGTCTTTTCCTGTATTCTCCTCTAGGGTTTTGATGGTTTCCTGTCTCACATTCAGGTCCTTGATCCATTTTGAGTATATTTTTGTGTATGGTGTAAGAGAGTGGTCTAGTTTCAACCTTCTGCATGTTGCTGTCCAGTTCTCCCAGCACCATTTGTTAAAGAGACTGTCTTTTTTCCATTGGATGTTCTTTCCTGCTTTGTCAAAGATGAGTTGGCCATACTTTTGTGAGTCTAGTTCTGGGGTTTCTATTCTACTCCATTGGTCCATGTGTCTGTTTTTGAGCCAATACCATTCTGTCTTGATGATTACAGCTTTGCAGTTGAGGCTACAGTCTGGGATTGTGATGCCTCCCGCTTTGGTCTTCTT